GCCAGTTGTGCTCTGACAGAACATTGTAGATTTAGAAAGCTTAAACTTTTTTTCCTGCCTTCTTGTAGTGTTAGAGATTATTGACACAGGCTATAGCTCACTGGCCTACATCTCTGTGTATTTTTCTTCTACCGTATGAGTGGAAAATGATCAAGCACGTAGTCCTCAATGAGCTCCATGAGTTTCTCGGCCATGTCACTGGGCAGGTGACATTTGAGATTCTTGAAGCATAGTACGTCCAAAAGTACATCCAAAAGAAAAAGCTGACATGAGGGACTTTTTGTTAAGCCATTCTTTTCTCCTCCTAAAGCAAAGGTGAAAAACAAAAATACTTTTATGTTTGCCTCAGAGGCCAGACTTAAAAGAAACTGCAACTGAATTGTTTTCATTTTAAGATTATCTGAGATCTTATTTCTGAGTAAATATCTACATATGGCTTGAATCTTATTGATCGTTCAGCCTGAAAAAAGAAAAGGCTCCGGGGTGACCTAATTGCATCCTTCCAGTATCCAAAGGAAGCCTACAAGAAAGTTGGAGACTTTTTACAAGGGCATGTAGTGACAGCACGAGGAGGAATGGGTTCAAATTCAAAGAGGGTATGTTTAGATTAGATATTAGGAAAAAATCCTTTACTGTGAGGGCGGTGAGGCACTGAAACAAGTTGCCCAGAGAAGTTGTGGATGCCCCATCCCAGTAAGTGTTCAAGGCCACGTTGGATGGGGTTTTGAGCAACTTGGTCTAGTGAAAGTTGTCCCTGGCCACAGCAGGGGAGTTGCAACTAGATGATCTTTAAGGTCCTTTCTAACCTGGGCTATTCTATGGTTCCATGATTCAATTTATTGCAGTTTTTTAACAGTGAAAAAGACTCCTGATAATGGATTTTTGATTATTAAATTTATGTAAATGTTTTGAATGTCAGAACAAAGTTTAGGGTGATCCCTTGATATTTTGGCTTAGGTATCCACTTAACAGCACTTAGCCATAAGTGCTATTGCATAAGGAGCAATGCTTTTTCAAACTGCACCCACATGTGTCCTGGGTAAATCCAGAGACTGCAGGGCGTGCTAAATGGTTTATATTTAATGGAGTGCAGAATACCATGGTGGAGGAAATAGTTCCATGATTGCATAAAGGTGACGTTTCTTAGTCAGTTACTTTGTGCTGGGAACTCGTTACTTTTTTGAGTGAAACTGGAACCATAAATTGCCTAACAAAAGTTAGTTGCGCTTTGCTTGCAGAACAGCCTAGTTTTTGGCACAGACAACAGCATTAGAATTAGGTTCTTCAGTCCTTGATTGTTCTTATAGGGGATTTTCATGTAAGCGCATGGGTTACATGAAAATATGGCGGGAAGGCACCAGTAGCTCCTTTTGTTGCTACAAGAATCAATGTGCCTTTCACAGGCAGCCAGCCAAGTCCCACTGCTGTCCACCACGTGTTGCTTTCACACAGGCAGAAACTGCAAGAGTGAGCAAGTGGACAGGCTGCAGAAAAAGAGCATTTCAGGGGCTCCTCATTGGAGTAGTCAGCATTTCAGAATAGTACTGAAGTACGGTCAGTAATGCTTTTGTCTGCTTTTTTTTCCATAGGAAATTCTGTGTGGGAAAGAAGCCCTGGATAAGCTAATCAACAGACTACTGGAGTTTGCAGAGATAGAGGCTGTCACCGAATATCTGGAAAATCTGCAGGCTTCGGAAGGCGGAGGCTGCTAACAACGATGTGTAGAGTTAAACCAAAAATGTTGTGTTCAGTAGCAAAATAAAACAGGTGTGTTTGTTGGATGATAGGTTGATTAAAATCTATTCCTCTGTTTCTCAGTGTGTGATACTATTCTTTTTATGTTTTGGTGCAAATGGGTTGCATTTATTACAGTAGATGTGGCAGAAAAGACAGGCTTGAAGTACTGTGTGCATACTCCTTGCGTCTTGGCAGCTGGGCTTTGTTAAGCTGGTCGTCTTGACTATATTACAGCTGGAAAGAGACAGAATCGTGGTGGTGGAGCAGGGAGTGCACTTTTTGTTTTGGGGGTGGAAGATGTTCCTCTGCGGGTGAAAGAAACTGAGCTCCCCCAACAGAGTCTAGAGTCTGGCCTCCTGAACGCTACTTCTTTTTTATCCATTTATTGTGTCAGCTTCCTAAGTGAAATCCCTTAAAAATAACTTTGTATTATGATACTTTAGAGTAAATATACAAAAGCAAAGGGAGTGATCTTGGTCAAAGGGCCAGAATGTTAAGAGAGAATCCTGTCAGCTTTCTTCCAGCCATTCTTGGGTCAGCTTAGGGTGGGACTGGACCTTGTGCTATGGTGGTGTGTAAAAGTACGTGTTCTAGTTTTAAACTAAGTAATAACAGGCAGCTCCCTCTTCTTGGCAGAGCAAACAAGTTCATAGTGTAGATGCATTTTAGCAAACCAGGTAGCTCTGGAATTCAGCTTCTGCCTTGATGTCTTTGGGAATGTCTGCCTGTTCCTGAGGGTGATCCAGATGTCTATGAGCACACTCGGCTTTACTGGGCCTTGGGTTTATGTTTTTCCCTGCGCACGTGTGGTGCTGTGTGCTGACAGGCGCCGACCGGAGGCAGGCAGATGTCACACCCAGTGACTCAGGAATGCTCCATGTTCAACGTGACACAAAAATAGGTGCTCTGCTGAACTCAGTCGACTTGCAAGATCACGGTGTTTTCTTTTTATTTCAATACTGAGTTCTGAATGGTGTAGTTTTTACTACTGTATATATAACAACAGTTTAAACATTATTCAGCTATATAAAGAAAAACAGAATTTATACCAGGAAGAAAGCAGGAAAACTATACTCATTTCCTCAGTTCTGGAATTATTCTTCAGTTCTTTTGTGTGTTCCTATCAGCAAGCTTTGTCTGACAATTTCTGACTTGCTTCCAACACTTTAATTACAGAAGCTTCTGGGATTTGATTTTTTTTTTTCATTGATAGCTCTGTAAAACAATCAGGAAATGTATTTACCATGCAATCCAGTATTCATTTGAACTTTGACTTTTTGCAATAAGCAGTTCAGAATTCAGAAAAAAACCCTCCATGAAGATCTGCAACTGAGCTTGTACTTCTGCCATACTGACAGACTGGCAATAACAAATATGATCAGCTGTAGTAGGAGAGTATCCAGATAATATGCTTATCCAATTACCACGCTCACTTTTGTTACTCAAAACAATTTATTTTATTAATGATATCTCTTGAATAATCTTAGAAACTTCTTAAAATGTACACATTTTAAATAATTAAATTTCACTTCCAGGATTAATACCTATGAAGTACTTAACTATGAAAAACTATTGAAACACTTAAAAAATGGTCCTCATTTATTTTACTGGAAGAAAGATGGTCATATTTCTGCAGGACCTTAGGGATATTTGTGATTACTTAATTTTCTGTAGCCCTTTTTGGTTGCTGGTTTGGTGCAGAGTGATGAGAAAGGGAAAAGCAGACAGCAGCTGCCCTCTTCTAAGTTTTGGATGTCCCAAACATAGGCATTGAAACTCAGCAGCTAAGCCCCTTCTGCCAGCCTAGCCTGGGAGACTCTGGAGGGTCTTTTTCTTATTAAGCTTCTTCTGCAATCACATATATGTGTGTGTGTGTGTGTGTGTGTGTGTGTGTGTGTGTGTGTGTGTGTGTGTTAGCAAAATATGGCTATGAGAGAATTCGGGATAGAGCAGACCTACTTCTACAGGAGGTCACTGCCTGCAGTGCAGGAATATTTGCTTCTCCTCATTGAGAAAGCATTATTTGAAACTGTTTGCTCCTAACTTTGAAAGATTCGAAGCTGTATTTTATTCTAAGTTCTTCCACCCTAGTCTTTCTGTGGGATGTAAGAGCTGAGAGATTGTGATGGGGTTTGGCTGTGGGCTGGCATTTGTCCTCAAAGAAGGGATGTGGGGTATAACACTTCCATTTCTGAGGTGTTTTCAGGATGGAATACTCTGAACTTGGGCTTTTTGGTTCCTACAAGCAATCACGACTTCCAGCAGTGAAATCATCAGCAGGAAAAATTACAGTAACAAAGCACAGGGAGGAAAAGGGGTAACAACTTCTTGGGGGCCAGTGAACAGCCCCTGGGGACAGTGCGATACAGCAAGAGCAGGTTCCTCTGCTAGAAACAACAGCCTTCTCCTGTAGCTTTGCATTTCCTTGTCAAACATCGTTACAACAAACATAAACTACCACCCATCTGCCTGGTTTCCCCTCCCCACCATCAGTGTGGAACTGGGCCCTTACCCACAGATATCATGTTACAGGTGGTGCAAGGCACCAACTTCATCGCTCTGCAGATCCTGTCCATTAATATGAAAAGTAGTACCTCGATCTCTTTCCTTTCCCTGCTGAGGTCTTGTGCAGCAGCATCTTACTCAGCCAAGAAGGAAGCCAGACAAAAGCTGTGTGTGCCCTTGGAAGTAGCCCTTTCTATGGCAGTGGAAAGATGGATGCTTACCCTCTGCAGAAGGAGAACAGCCCAGGTACCTCAGCTTGATTACTTCCATTTAGTCATCAAGTGTGTATCTAACTCTCAGGGCACTGCTCATTGTTCTTGAGACCAGCAAATTTGTAACAACTGAATCACAATCTGTCATCACAAAGTTCATATATTCAGCTTTATTCTGAATGTTACTAACAGTAACTGCAACAAACCTTACCTGAACTCTATTACAAATAATTTTTAAAATAACAATTTTAACCCAGGCCTCTTATTACTCATAGTTGATGCACAGAATAAACAAATTTGCAGTAACCACTTAATGTGCTACAGGAAGGCACCCAGACACCATGTTGGTGACAACAAAATAAAAGTATTTCTTTTAAGAAGCATTTTCATATTTTTATTATATATTTTATATTTTATATAGTTCTTATATATATATATATAGTTCATATTTGCCTCAGGCCCCACTTTTAACAGAATATGCACCCATAAATCTTCCAGGTTGTCCTAAACCCTGGAACAGATGAACAGATGAACACTAGTAACGCAGATTGTTCAAATGAAAGCTTTATTCTGTATTTTCATATAAACTCCACATCAAGAGCTTGCAATATTTTGTAATTGCAACTGAGAAGCAGTTGACGATAAACCAGCTGTTTAACTTTGCAGATGTTACTTATAAACTAAAACAAGCACTCTTCAGTCACCCCAAACAAGCCATTAAAATCCACTGTCATCATCCCGTGGTCTGTACAATGCTCTCTTCTGGTTTTTAACATAGACTGTTTCTGGTTTTACACGTAAAATCAAACCCACTTTTGCTGACACTCTCTAGGAATCCTCTTGGGCAAATTTAGCCTTTTTGAGATTATTATTTGCAACACTTCTTGCTTTGTGCAGAAAATTTTATTCAAGCTCTACCCTGAAACATTTCACAAAGCTAAACCTGTTAATCACACAAATGGTTAACACAATTTCTAAGTTAAATAATTTAGCAGGTAGAAGGTAAGCTGACTAAAGAGGTAGATAGAGACTGAAGAGGTATGGCTGACAAAACAGAACCCAAGGGTTGCTGCAGCTCATAGCAGAAGGTATAGACAGCTTTTGTACCAACAAGTAGAAGGATTTTAGGGCTGCAAACCCCATAGGAGGAACGGAGTGGAATCTGTCTCAGAAAAATGAATTATCAAGGAAATCAAAAGAGCACATGTAGTCAGTCTTGAAATAGCTTGTGTGTTGTGTGGAGATAGACATGGTTGTAGTTCTTCAGGGCACAATGCAAACAGGCAGCAGAAGTGGTTGGCAGGAGCTGGGACCTGGAGACACCTTGGCCTACCTAGGAACGCAAAGCTTTCTGAAGATCTCAGCAGAGCAGGGGATGAGGTGAAGGTGGATGCCAGAAACATGGCACAGCAGTGATACAGAGATTTGCATATCTGAGAATACCAGAAGAAGACGATTCAAGGAAGACAGCAATAATAAGAAAAGTACTAAAAAAGGGAGGCACAACTCAAAAAACAAATCAAGGAAACCAAGCAGCGTGAAATAGTTTTTTACTCCCTTTCTGAGATGCCAAAATTTGCACTGAAATCTCTTTCAGGGAAGAAAAAAAAAAAGGAGAAATGGTTTTATACATGCACAGATTAGTGAATTTAACTCAGATCCATGTCATGACCAGCCCTCTCACCTTCTAAATCTCAATATCGGGACTGGCTGATGCTGCAGCACAGACTTTATCTATGATGGTCAAACGAAACTTCACCCTACTGGGGAAGTCTGGATTTCAATCTACCAATCCCCAGGTGAAGGGTTAAAATTTGTCTTAGCCTAAATAGGAACAAGGATTATTCTGTAACACGGGTAAAACTGAGCAGGTCTCCGCACAGCTCCTGGCATAGCAAATGCACAATAAAACAATTTTTCTTTTTTCTGTATATGCAGTATGTTTGCTTCTAAAAGTATCACCAACTTTAGACAGGCCCTGCTGTAAAAACATGCACAAAATGTCCTGTACTATGAAGCTGTCTTTCTAAACAAACAAGGCAGGTGAAAATATTAGGCAAGGAAAGAAAAATACAGAGCAGTGAATTGACTTGCTCTAAACCACACAACAGAAATCATCATCAGAAATTGCAATGACTCCCTTTCTCTCTGACTCTCCTTCTCATACTGCTAATGATATCTATGGCAGCCTGTAAAACCAAGGATGTAGTCCTCACTCGAGCTTGCAATAAAACCAGGCAAGCAGATAAAAACATGCTGTAGGATAGAAAATGGATTAGTCAGAAAAGAAAACACTCATCTGAAACAGTAACATTCCTTTGTCAAAAGCCAGTGCAGCCCAAGGAAGGATTAGCAGATGAGGAGTGTAACTGTAGTAATACCTAGAGGATTCGTACAGCAAATTTCAAAAGCAGAAGATTTTGCAGGGAGATAGCACAGAAGGGAGAGAGATCTGTGAAAAAACAGATGTCTTGGAAAAGCAGTGTCTGCCTTAAATCTCAAACAAGACAGTATTTTTGCGTAGAACAGAAAAATATTTGGCTTAGATACACAATAAGGAAAATTGAATGACAGCACGCTGCAAAATTAAACAATGGCTTTGTGTATATCGAATTTAAATCAACTGGCCTTTTTTATAATTTACAGTTAGGAATAAACTAGTCTCTGACTTTCAGAGGTAGTAGAGAGCAAAGGGCTATATCTGTATTTCTTTGTGAATCACAAGCTCTAAAAGTCACATCAGCAAAACTAAGCACAAGGTATTTAAACTAACTTTACTAGAGGTGAGCAAAGAAATATTTTAATCTCTTTTCCTAATGTTTTGGTTTGTCTATTTAACACAGTACAAAGACCTTTGGTTCATATTACAACTAACAGCAGCTCCACAAGAACAAAAGTTTTGAACACTCATTTTCAGATGTTTTTAAACATCTACTCAAGGGATGTAGTTACAGGTATCTTAAATCCCCGCCTGTGACTTCAACGTGTCAAAACATTTTAAAGGAAAGATGTTCATATTTTGGAAACCTCATAACAAGAGGAAAGGTGCCCTCCTCAGAGGATATTAAAAGTGGAGCCTACAAAAAAACCTGCTATACTACTGGATAAAACTCTACTAATAAACAGTAAAATAATTTTTCAGAAATCATAATGAAATGTATATATCTTAGGCCTGGAGTAACAAAAGGAGGATGAGTACAGCAGTACAAAAAAAAATTGTGCTCGAAAGGAGAGCATGACCAGCTGTTAATTCATCAGCTGGCAATGGCAAAGGAGTAGAGAAAGCTGGTTGTACTGTTAAGTCACAGGGCACCCCTGGCAGACAGTGTGATGTGGTCATGTGAAAGGCAAATATGGTTTAGGGACATACCCAGAGTTACTTCCAATATGCTAAGGAAGTATTAGTGACATCATGTGTGGCCTTATTCTAGGCAAACTAGCCCAGGCAAAATCACCTAGGCAAATCTAGTCTAGGCAGACTCAGGCTGGAATGGGTGAAGAGAAGTGCTGGTGGAGCACTGAAGGTCCTGTCACACAAGGATGCTTTTTGTGATTTCGAAGAGAGATGATGTGATGGATTCAAGATGAAGAAAAGCTACTTAACTCAAGGACAGTACTTGTGTGAATTGGGAGGAAGAGTGTAAACTGGTCACAAACATAAGGAGACTAAGTTAGAGCAGACTCCTAGCTGCCAGAGTAGCGTTCAAATAAGAACAAAACCTGAAAAATTTGAATAAGAAACCTGACAACTTCTCCTTGGCAGGAAAGACGCTTCTGTTCTAGCCTTGCATGTGAGGTCTTTCATGTGGAATGCATGTTGTATATTCCTGAACTATGACTGTGAAAGCATCCAGCACGTCCTGCATCTCTAAATGACAATCCAGGGCCAGATTTTACAGGAAACCTTCAAATTTATCAGAATAAACATCAGAAAAAAACCCCCACAACCCTGATGAAGCCAAGAAAACACACAGGATTAAATACAATACTTAATTCTCTTCTACACATAAAGCAAATGTCCCATAATAGAAAAAAAGACTTCACCTCCATTGTAATACACAATAAATCAGATTTCCTGTCTTGCACTCCTTTCTCCACTGATCCAAAAGATTAACAGTTGTTTTCTCAAAGCAATTCAAGCTCAGCAGTTACCAACTCTATTTTGCTGGACTCTTGACAACAGTCTTAACTGCACCTCTTTTTGACTGAGACTTTCCTGAACAAAACACTGTGAGCTTTAGGAATATAGACATAGTTTTTAATGGATTCATTATTTGAACCTTTATGGTCCACTGTTTCATTGCTAGAGAAGCAATAAGTGCAGCTGTATTCTAACACAGGCAATGAATCTTGATGATGCTAAATGCAGACCAATGCCACCAAGTGAAGAAATCAAATCTACAATCCTTAAGAAAATGTCCAAGTCATCTTGAACAGTACAGCCATCAGCTCTACTGATCTTTTGTTTTCCTCTCCTGTGGTACTGAGAATGATCAAGCTTCAATATACTAAGTCCCTCTCAGCTTATCGAACACTGCAACTATGCAACACACTCTTCTTATCAGCAGATAAAACACATTCACCTCAAAAAGGGTCCTGTATGCTAGAGCAGGGCCAAGTCTCTAGACTATTTTTTCTTTAAAATATCAGGCAAGCACTTTTTTTCTGGGAAAGAGACAAAAAGAAAGCAAGACCAAAAAAAGAAAATATTATAAGTAACAGTTGAAGTAGGCAACAATAAAGCAAAATACAACAAGAAAAAATGTCTACTCCAACAGGGCTCTGGTGCTGTTACTACAAGTTAAGATTCATCAGGTTTAAATCTTCTGCAGAGGTTTAATACATCTATCATGCACGTACAGAAATAATTTTTCAGAACATCATTTGGAATGGGTGGCACTGATGTGACTAACTCCTCTAAAAACAGCTTTCAAATGATCAGTTTGAAATGTTGGCAGTCTCACCACCTACTCTTCGGCAAGCGATTGACCAAAGGTTAGTAAGCACAATATTTTTATTCATTAGTGGGGAAACTACTCCACATAAACAATCTTGGGGGATGATTTTGCTCTCTAGTACATGCTATTGATCCAGTTCCTCTGTAAAAATAAAAGATCTGCTTCATTTTTGCCATATTAAACATTACTACATTCTCACATACTTAGAAAAGAAGTAAAATATGTTATGCAACATATTTAAAACAGCATACACAGAGCAAATAGAACTTAGATGGCATGGTTAAAATAAAAAGTATTTACAATATTGCATAAGTAACACAACACGAACTTCCATTCCAAAACCAATCACATCAAAATAAAATAACTCACATATGTTTTAATACCTATAAATCCTCAATTTCTATCCAACATTTTCTTTATAAAAGCCTGTTTAAAATATTAAACTTTTGATTCACTCTAGCTTAAACAGAATCTAAAATGATTTGTTAAGTACTACTGATCACTTAGTCTTTGTCTTAAGTTTCTAGATTTTCCATTCTCAAATTTTCTCTTTTTAAATGTTGGCACCCCTTCTGTCAGGTCTCCAAGGGAGGTGACTGTCTTCTCTTTAAACATCACTGTTTCCTCTTCCGGAACCTCTAACACTGGGGGTGCTACATTGTCACTCTCTGTACTTGGAAGCTCCAGGTCCACTTTTTCACTAGGAGGAGAGAGGAAAACATAAAAGGGTTAAGCTACATGGAGAAAACAACGTGGTGTACTGCAGACCGTAACAGCTATTTTTATTTGTCAAAGCAGCTTTCAGCTAGATGCAGTCTTCTAGTCATCATCATGACGGGCATGAAGAAAAAAAATCCATGTTCTTTGTTTCTTCTGTGTGGGTTGCCACAAAAAGTAACAAACTGAAACCTCATTCTGTGCTGAGCTTAGACCATGGACCAAGTACTCATCATGTAAACAGTCCCGCAAAAGATAACAAGGCTGCATGTCTGTAAATATAAGAATATTGACAGACAGTAGTCAGTGAGTAATTAGCAGTGGTTCTCTGCCAAAATACCATTGAGTAGTTCTGCTCAAGTGTCCATCCTCAAGGGACTGCACGACAGAAGAGAGGACAAGCTTACCAAATCAGCCAGTGACCCCAAGTTGGGAGAGGCGGCTTTGGAGGCCAGGATCACAGCTAACAGTGATATGAACAAACCAAAGACATCAACTAAAAATGACTAATTGGTTTTAAGGGGTCAACAGCAAAACACTGTGTTCCACACAGATAACCTGTGGCATAAATATACGGTAGAGAAGAACGAAACATTTCGCAGAAAGTTACTTAAGTCACAAGTCCGTCAGGAATCACGCCAGCACAACACTGATGCAAAGAGATACACATTGGCCAATCCATGCAAGAATACTCTTGGTACTACCAAGTATTAGTCTGATGTCAGCTCATGTATATACTTAGTTTCAAGTTCTCTCTTCAAGGAAGACATGGATCAGTTCGAGCACCCAAACAAGAGCCATAAGAATGATTGCAAGTCAAGTACGTCAAGAAAATGCAAGTGCTGCCATATCCTGAAAATATAAACCTCCTGAAAGTGGTTGTCACTGTGCCTAGACTCAATTTAAATTAAATAATGAACTGCATTTGTCTCATTGACATGTGTTTATCTCAAGCCTGCATGCTCATGCAGAGACTCATCCATAACGTTCAGTAGCTGAAAGCACTTTTTACTAGACAGTGCTTTCCAAAACCCCAAAAGAATTTTTCAGCTCAGAAGTCAAGGAGCAGCTAGCCGATGCAACACAGGTGTTATGTGGAGAATGGAGTAAGCATAAGGAAGAAGACTTTTCATTCTCCAAAACCTATTTTCTCCAGACTCCTAGAGGGAGCCACAAGAAAATGACAATAAAAGACAGCATGCTTCACAATAAAAAACAAAAACAACCCACAAACAAACAAACAAACAAAGCTACCTCAGGCACTATGCAGTAAAACAAAAATAACCCTCCTGATCAGATGCAGGTCATGAAAACATCTGCTCAGGCATGGGGGAGGGAGAGAGGGAGAGACAGCTTCCCGATTTAAAACTGGCATAACTACGTTAGACATATTTTGTCTTTCATCTCCCAAGTAAAATCATTAGAGAAAGTGTTTCCCACCCCATTTTAATAGTCTTCAGGACTTAGTCATTGTGACAGCAGAAAAGGCTGTAGTGGATTTTGTTTTGTTTTCTCTCTTTGAAATGAGAGAAAAAAGGGAACAAGAAAATAGTTGAACCAGAAGTCTTTTACTGCAATACTCGGTGAAAGTAAGATAGAAAATTTGAAGTGTCTTCTAGGCTGTGTCCTTCAAGTGAACAGTTAAAAGTCAGTACTATACCACAAAGTGAGAAATGATCCACTGCTTGTGGGAGTAACCCAGCCAAACACACCAGTGTCAGGTAAAAATTGCCTGGAGTCTAAAAAAGCACATTCATTATGTCAGCAACTATTGATCCCACAAGGAAGGAATTCAAAGCAATGCTAACCCACTACGATCAACGTAAAGTTGCTGGTGGTCCTAGAAGATCAAGATAGATCTCAAACTCCAGGTGAAGTCTGCCCAACTAGTTACCCATGAAAAAGAAACAGAATTTAGCCTGAAAGCTGGAGGCCCCAAGAAAGCTGCCTCTACTGTTCCAAGGCTGGAAGCAGTTCAAAAAGCAGCCATAAGAGTGCCTGAGGAAGCTGAACCAGATTTATGAAGGAAATGATGTTAAGCTTAGAGTAACAACATTTAAACATTTGATACTCAGCCTCTGAAAAAATGATGCATGACTAGAATTCTTAAATCACTTTAATTTACTCTGTACTTACAGTAAAATTCTACACTAAAACCAAAACACCACTGACATATGCAATGGAGAGCTATTACTTAAAATAATCATGGCAGAAAGAATTGTATTCCTATTACTGCTGTGCTAATGCTTCCAGAATTCAGAAGAAAAAGCTTCAGCTCTTGAAAACAACATTATGACAATAATCGAGGTAAAAAAGATACTCACCCTTCTTCTTCTTCTTTTTCTTGTTCTTCTCCTACTTCCTTAAGTGCTTTCCATTTTCCATAAGGGTTGGTCGTGTTAGATCCATCATTAGAGGTTTCTTGGGAAGCTGATGTACTCTTCTCTTTATCTCCAGTTTCTTCTGACTTAACTTCTCGCCATTTCCCATATGGACTTAACTTTTTAGCTTTAGGAGATTTCTTCCCTTCCTCTGATTCTTCACTGTTATCTCCTTTCCTCTAAAGAGGAAAAAACCCACCTTAAGCAAAAATGCCTAAATAAAAACATAATGTATCTTTATTTTACATCTTTTATTTAGTATTATCTACTATTCATAGTTTTCAACCAAGAGTAACTTGAAACAAGTTCATATTGTAATATAATTTGCAAATTTTTCTTCTTGAGCTTTCATTACATAAAGTTGAAAAACAAGTCTTAAATGTTACAAGAAGTTCAAGATGGAAAAGCCCATCTACATTGGCTGAAGTTAGCAAGGCATAGCCAATTCAAAGTTACTTAAAAACAAAGCTTAGGGTGTCTTAAAATAAAAAAATGAGGAAAAAAATTCACATGCAGCTTTATGTACATGCAGATACACACACTTTATTGCTAATACCTGATAGCAGTTTATAATGATGCACGGTGATACAAAAATACATATGCCTATGAATGCATTTTATATTTAAATTGTCTCTGTTCAGAAAAACCATTTGACCCAACCAAAACCATAATCACACACTTTTACCAAAAGTTTAACATTTAGGTTTTAAATATTTAATTGATACAGATGTTGTACTATGTGGTGTCAATGCTTTTTCTCAATTTAATAAGGAAACTACAACCATGCCATTTTCGGTCCAAAGCATTCCCTGGAGTCCATTGGCAGTCACATTTACCAATGAAGGGTTGAAGTCATTCTCACACTGAAATCCAAACCATTTTGTGGATTATTTCAGAGAGATGACAGTGACCTTTCTCAGAGAACATCACATATCTTGCAGAATTCAAGGTACTTCTTGTGAGTTGAAGGAAAGAACATGCTTTCTATCCTGGAACAGTGCCACTAATGAGCCAAACAATTGAACAAAGATTCATTTTACTATTTAAAGAAGTGCAAAATGCTACTTTCAGTCATACGGTTTAATCTCATTTCAATGAGTACAGCCTATCACAAGAGATAAAAGATACAGCAATAATTTTTTAGTATAAGATGATGTATATAAAATAAATCTGAAGAAAAATTACCTTGGAGTTTGTTTCTGAACTCTTTGCTTCATTTTCACTATCTTCTGAGTCTGATTCAGATGCTGTTTCTGCATGCTCTTCGGAATGCTTGTCACATCGACTCTTCTCATTTGAAGATGAAACAAAACCATCTGGTTTCTCCCATGTGGATACTGTCCAAGACATTTGAACAACCATTATTTATGCTTCTAATTTTGATCTTTCATTGCTTCGACAACATTACCTTTTAGAAGCAGTGCTGCCTTATTCAAAAATACAGCAAATAATTTAGCACGAGGGTTTTGCCTTTGTTGAGTATGTTTGTTTTAATAAACATAATTAGAAAGATAACATTTCACTTCCCAGCAGAGATACAGTCATGACAGCTGAGTTCACTGTTGATAAAGCTTGTTTTAATTAGCTCAAACACACGGTGAACCGTGGTCCGCACGACTGTGGTCGCTCTCATCCCTACACAGGACCGATGAATTAATTACCCTCTAGATGTGCCTATTTGATTTGAGTTGTTCGCTGATTACAAAGACAGGATAAAGTAAAGAATGATAACTGCAAGCCTCAGGTCTCCAGCATGATAAACCCCTTCCGTGTGCTCCTTTGCTTGGTAACGTTAAGTCTCTAATTAAAAGCTGTCAAGCAAACAAGGAAACAAAAACATCAATCTGAAAATACATGAAAGTATGGACAGGATATGTACATACATATCCTCATTTTCAATTAAAAGGTAGTATTCCAGTAAATACATCAAAAGGAAATATTTAAATAAAAGTTGATTCAGTGGTCTTAAAACTGGTTTTAGTAAGAATAAGGCGAAAGTAGGCCAACTTTCCATCTATAATTTTATATAAGTTTTCAGATGTAACAAAACTACTACTTTTCCAATTATTTTATCCATTTCCAAGGAAATCCTTAACTGCAAACAACATTTAACAGGTAAGTGTCTAGATGTATCTTGAAGAAGTAAAGGTGTAAAAAACTGGCAGTGAAGGACTTTGCATGAACAGCACAGTCACTTAACGGTACTGCTGTCATCTGGCTTTAGATTAGTAAATGAGAAAGTTCACTTTCTTAGGTGCCACATACACTGGAGTAAAGTACAGCCTCCCAAAGCACGACTTGTAGCACTAAGTCCAGAGATACCAGTCTCCTAAGTTACATGTCTAAGATGAGACAATTATGACTATTTACATCAGTTAAAAATTGGTCCTGTCTTCAGAGGATGGGATTACTCTTATTAGAACTGACAGGTAATTCTCAAACATTTCCAAGACGTTTACAGCTATATAAAAGTAAAGGATCAATTTGAAATCTCACAAGCCAAAATTTTACCAAATGCGATGACTATAAACACATTATTCACAAGTGTCATATGTCTCTGAAGAACTTAAAAAAACAATACACCCAAATGCATAAAATGCATCTGAACTTAGAAGGCAATGTTTAAAAATAAGCAACACCTCTTTTCCCTTTCCAAAGAAGAAACCACAAATCATTGGGGCAGGGGAGTGACTGGTTTAAAAACTGAAAGGTTTTGGTTGGGGTTTTTTTCTGTTCTTGGCATCATGAGGAATGCCACTTCATACCCAACAGCAGTAGAAAAACTCATAGCCAGTATAAAAATCACTTCCTCTCCAGAGAGGCCTCATTGACCTTAAAATGATTCAAACAGATTTAGAAAACATTCTGAGGGAGTCACCACAAAGTTCCCATGTAGGGAAAAAAAAGGGGAAAAGAAGTGGGAGGTAAGATTCTGGACTCTCTTATCAATGCTATGCCAGCAAGATGAAAAGTTTAGGAGATTCTTATTTAGTACTACATACCCGTGAAAACAAAATCCCCTTTCTAGTTTCCTAACTCTAATTTCAATATACATATAGAAAAGAAGAATGCTTAAAGTTACAAGCTGAAGTCTAAAAAACCCTATGAAGCATGAACTTATACACACTGACAATACAGCTGTAAAGCCAGCAGTGACTTAAGCAACAAGTATATTTCAACTAAGACTGCAGCTTAAAAAATACGAAACTTAGTAACGGCCTTAAAATGCAGTTAATTTGCAAAACAAAAAGCTTCTCTGAAAACCCTCTCTCCTGAAACAGAGCTTAACAGAGTTCTCTCCTTACCTCCAGTTTGTGTGTTATAGTAATAGGTATGACCATCTTCAGTGACACCTTCTACCCACTCTGCTCCCTAGGAAAAAGATACAGGAGCTAATGAAAAAGTTATCGGGATCAGCCAAAGCATCACTTGTAAGATTATTCAACTCCTGAGTATTTTTTGTCTGTGGTTATTTTACTGGTTTAAAGCTTGAACCCCTAATGTTGTTAGAACATATTCCCTTTGACTCAAATGAGACTGAATTCCATGACTTAAAATATTGCAAATGCACATAAACAATTATTTTTCAAACAGTGGATAATCTGTATGAGCCTCTATAGTAAATGTTGCCATGAAGTTCAAATTATTATATAGACCATTATTTTACATGTTTTCTTTATTTTCCAAAGTATTCACCCCTGAGGTTGTAATTTCCTATTTGTGTTATTGTCTTTACTAGAGACTGATGAAAAAATTCTCTAGAAGACTCAGGTCTTAGTGAGGGTTAAAAAAAACCAATACCAATAAATACTATCACAAATTAAATAAACAAACAGAAATGTACCCCAAAATAGATTTTCACCACAAATATAGAATCAAACTTTGTATGAATGCACACCAATGATTTTACTTCTTCCGTAAAGCACTGATTTCAACAATGGTCTGTTTTTCCCTACTGATTTATAAATACGTATGAAATGTGGCAGAACTTGCTGGCGTATCTTTGTGGACATGTAATGTAATTTTTTTTTTCAGAATTAGCTACAGATAGATGATCAGCATTACCCATGACCTAACATCTTCCTTAAGAACCCGATTTTTAGCTACATTAGCACATACAACTACTTCACTGCTCCTTAAGTACTAATACTGCCCGCTCCCCTGTGTTGGGCAGAATATCTGTGCTGCTTCACCATACCTTATTTTGGCATTAATAACGTCTACGTTTTGCACACGCATACCTCTACATTTGCTTAATACTCTTAATAAAACTTGGGGTTATTTTTTTTTTTAAACACAACAAAATCAGAAGTTAAGCTTCTTGCACCCACTCTGTAAACGAACAACAAAAAAAATGTACCAGTAGATTTAGGGCATGCAAAGGCAAAAAAGCCTTCAGTAAGCAAGTTTCTTCAAGGTTTTGCCCTCAAAAGTTTCAGTGTGCTCATTTCAAGAAAAGAAGCAAAAGGAATGTTTCTTTTACGTAAGTAGAAAGTGGATCAAAAAAGTAGTCTTAAGTACAACCTATCCTTTTTGTTAAGTGTTAGATCCTGATCGTTTTAGACCTGGTGCCTGGAGGTTTTCAGCAAATATTTGACACTAGGCACACTGAGTATCCTATGACATGAATGCTAACAAGCACAATGTCAATCTAACTGGTTATAGGTAGTCTTCAACATGCCTCTTCATTATTCTGTTCTTCCCACCTCTTACAAAGTCTGAGCAGCAATGTAATGTGCTGTAAAACCAGGAGGGCTCCTGAATCTCACTTGCACGGCATATTGCAAGCATGCCCTTTAACTTCTGGCCAGTGAGTCCTTGTTAGAGGCCTGGAGTGTTCCCAATATGTTTAGCTCAGACTAAATAAGGGAGCAATCAAACGCTTGTTTTTAGCTGTAGCGAAAATAACTCAAGACAGCACAAAGTCACTGAGCAGGGTGAGGAAGGAATGGCAAAATACAGCCATGTGGTACTAGAGAGATATCCAAGGCTGAAGGTGTGTGTTTATGATATAGCTGAGCTGAGCTAACTTCAATTTGTTGCCAAGAAGGGAGTGCCTTTTCCCCCCAGTCTGCTCTCCCCACACTGGCATTTCTCTGATTAACCAGATAGCCAATGGCAAGGAAATAAGCCTACAAAGCACTAACCTAAACTCTGATGCCTTCACTCCCTGAACTAGTTCACTGTCAGGGTAAATATGCACCAAAGACCATACAAGATTAGCTTCAGGACCGCCTCCTTCGGTGGAAGGCTACAGTAAGATTGGCTTATAAATATTGCAATGCTATGCCTTGACTGAAAAGATAAAGTTGAAGTGCTGATTAACAAGTGGTGCAAAACCACAGGATAAGGGAATCAGAAAGCCAGAGCAGCATGTGATGGGACAATATAGAGCTAGAGAATGTTAAGCACTCTGAAAACACCAGGCTTTTTTGAACTCTAATGTAAAATCCAACATTGGCAAACCAAAAAAAAACTTACATTAAATCATAGTGTACATATGGCACCTATCTTGAAAACAAGAAACATAACATCACTTAACAGGAGATTTGGAAAAATCCTGGTTTTAATGCTGCAAAGCACAAAAATCCTGGAGTGATAAGTATCAGGGGAAAGCCCATTAATAATAGTCTTTCTGTCTTTGGACTATTCTGCAAGTTTCCCCGTGCCTCAAACAAGGAAAATAGAGTAACATGCTAAATTTCTAAATATGTTAAATAATTGCTTGTACATAGGTTCCATGATCATAATAAACCAAGGAAAACCAGAAGTTATTACATAACTGTATCCTAAAGTAAACACAAAAAACAGGCACTCTTTTTTTTAACTACTTGCCAATGCAATCTCAATGTTTCCTAAGATAAAGGAGGCTTAACTATTTCAAATATGTAAGATTTTTTAAATTACATTTTGTTCACAAAAGGTTCAACAGAATTTATTCAGAATTTCCCCAAAGCTTTCAATTTTATGGGCTGAAGCGTAAGAAAAAGCATGTTCTGCAAGAACCCAACCACTATTATCATTTCTCCTCCCTTGATAGACAAATAATCCAAATAAGATTTGTGCAGTAAAATTTCAGTTTATCATAAATGATTCTGTGTTTTCTTAAGTTTATAAAGGGCAAACAATTTATTTTCTGCAACCAAAAGACTTGCAAATTGCTTAGATTATTTCTGTTAAGTGTTTACAAGGACAAAGAAAAGTATGAATAATAGTATTTGATTACCGTTTGTGAGTTTTGAGAGTTGCCTTGGAATCCTTTAGGTTTCTCCCACTGTGATTCTGAAAAAACAAAGGAATAATTCACCCATCATTCAATCCTGTTTATGTTTAATAATCTTTTATAAAACAAGATCTAAAAGATATAACACTGATGTGTGCACATATATAAAAAAATAATATAGATATACCTCACTGGAATATGAATAATCCTTGATGAAACTATTGTATGAAAAATAAATCAAAGTATCATAATTACACCTGGCTTTACTGGAATTAGTGACCCTTCAGACTCTATATGGCTGATACACAGGTACTGAAAATTCAGTTAAAAAAAAAGGTGGGGGGTTTGTTTGGCCTTTTTTAAATGTTAGGCCAGAAGAAACCAAACGTACAAGATTTTTACCTTTTGGACGTTATCTTGTATGAGGAAAGACTACAGTAAATACTAGTGCCAATCCTTAGATTTATAAGAAACAGTTTGTAACATTCTCGTTAATCATAAAAGAGGGTGGCTTTTATGCTCTAAAGTAGATCACAACACACAGTTCTTCAAGAAAAGTCAGTTAGATAAAGCCTGTAAATTTGGAAAGAAACAATTGGTTTATTTCACATTCCTGATCAGAAAACTTGTTTAGGAAGAACACAGCTATCTTTTGTATACTTAACCTCTGACAGGCTAAACATTTCCAGAAACTGTGGAATTACTGCATTCTTCTATTCTTAATCAACAGCAAAACTACTCTGAAATTCTGGATGCCTAAGTCTTGAATGTTAAATATCAAAACTCCATCAAATCGTTCACATTTTAATAATCAGCTTACTACTGAAAGAGCAGAAGAGTAAAGAAATGCAGGTAGTCATTTCTCACTCAGATCCAGTAACTATATCTGCATTTCCTTTTACCTCCAGTTTTTGTGTTGTAGTAATATGTATAGCCTTCTGGAGACAGTCCTTGCACCCACTGCTTCGTTTCAATTGTCTTCTTTTTCTTTTCTTTCTTTTCCTTCTTCTCTTTCTTTTCCTTCTTTCCTTTAGTTTCCACTGTGTTACTCTGTGTTTTACTCGGTGTTGAACTGGGACCTACAGCATCTTAAAGAAAACAATACTGCCCTTATAAAAAAGAGTAATAATCTGCACTTAAATATTAGTCACTTGCACAGCAGAAAATAGGAAGTTTTGTTCTTATGAGTATTTTAACTAATGTGTGACAGTCATCAATATTACACTCATAGCAAGCACTCTTAAAAGACTATATTCAAAGAATCTTACACGGTAGCACTTCCATAGTGTCATAACAAAGTCCAGATTTAAAAAGATGAATAACAAAAACCATTTGGATCAATTAGCTCTAACCAAACAACCAAAACCAAGCTAAAAGCGTTATGAGAAAGACAGCTGGTACAGTAGCCTGAAACTACAAACTTTTTTTTAGAGGATAGTATGTCTTCACAGGGACAGAACAAAGGTACTTGCTGAACTGCAAGCTGAGTAGGAGATTCTCATCTCCACTGTCAGACACAAGTGGAAACCCAGTCTTCTCCTACACATAGGAACTTTTGTCTCCAACTGGCAAAAGTGAAACATAATGTTAATCAAGGGAAGCTGCACTGGTCATTCAAAGCACCAACTACAGCCTATTTTTTTTTTTGTTATCACATTGTTTAATTTTTCTACTCAGAATTTGATTGTTCCACACATCAGAGGATACCACAGCTGAAAACGTTCTGGGCTGCCACTTCTACTACTTGCAAATTGTAGACTACTCTTTTTTTTTTTATTATTAATGAGCAAACACAGTCCTGGAAGCCTCCTCTCATGTTCCTAAACCCAATTTAAGACAAAACTTTCCTATTCAATATTCTTTCAATTCTGCCTTTTATCTTTTGGCAGCTATGTGAACTACCTGGCTTAATTCCAAGCCTTTTCATATCCTCTTGATATGCTTTCATTGCAGCCTCCTCCATTGCCGCAAATTCTTTTGACATGTTTTCTTCTTCTTTTGCCTTTTCCAAGCTTTTCTTTTTAATCTAAAACAAAACAGAAAACCCCCAAGAGAATAAATTACACAAATATGATAAGAGAGTAAAAATAAGCATTTGTGCAATTAAGATATTTGAGTTACCTCACTAATTCTTTTTGCCACATTTTCTTTATGATTCTTTCCTCTTTCATGAAAATCAATGCTCTTCAAAGTGAGAAAAAACCAAGAAAAATTATATGTATTATACAATTTAAAAATAATTTTAGTTACTTAAAATTTAGTTAGACTAAGCTTAGTTGAACAAACCTAAATGTAACCTGTTCTGAGATCATGTACAGCAAAACTAAAGCTATGAAATGGGTGGAACACAGGAACACTGAGAAACACTCAACATAGAAATAATGAAAAATCAGTAACACTCCAGGATGGTATCACAGAATCTCAGTGTATTTATAAGATTTAAATTTTTTCAAATAATACTGTTCAGCAACATATTAGAGACAAGTAACAGGGAACCTGAGCTCCCTCTTCATGCTATCCTTCCAAGTGATGACACTTCCAAGTGTCATTAATTTTTTTTTTATCCTGTTCTCATGCAAACTTTTAAAAACCATATGGGTTAATTAGTGTTCCAAATATTAGCTACCACCCTTAATTAGATAATGTTAACTCCACAAATATCTCATGAACTCGAACTGCAGGTCCACATATCTGAGAAAGAGAGAGAGAAAAAGAAAAGGCAAAGTGGGAGAGTTGGGTAAATAAAAACAACGGAACAGTCCGCAAGCCAAAAAGCTGCCAGGAAGACAAGCCAGTAGAAGCTGGAAGGAGTTCAGAAGCTCCCTATGGGCACAACAGTGGAAGTCCTCCTGTGGTTCTCAGAAAAAAATGTCTGAGCTCATTCAGGTGTTCAGATGTTAGGTGCCTAAATCTGACCTAGTAACCCTAGAATTTCTTTCCTCTGCATGAACTGATGTGCAGAGAATGCACATTCAGGGATAACTCATTTGAAGACAGACTTTAGAAGGTACTCATATCTCTCCCTTTATAAGCAGTTCTCTTCACTGACTCCAAGAAGATACCTGCAGTTCTTGTGAGCTAATTAATTGAGGTATCTTACTGTAAGCCTGATGAAGCTCAGCTCTAAGAGTACTCCTGGCATCCAATCAGGAATGCAAAACTTATTTCTAAGTAAGAAACCAATGGGTCTAGTAGTCTGCAAAAGACATCTACAAGTCAGAAACACCTGTAATATTTCCGTGGGCTGTGTGAAATGAAAGAAACCTGCTTTAAATGCTCAAGACTGCTGGCTGTACCATGCCTACCACATAGAAACAGTACAAATGCCAGGTTTTGCTTTCTTCTTGCACATGAAAGTGAGGAACAGGAGCAGACAAAGTTTCAAGACAGATCAAATGTTAAGTTACAGAAGTCAAAGAAAAAAGCAGGGTCAAATATTTTAGTTCTTATCTGTACTGCTAAGTAGAACAGCACACACCATCTTGTATGCAGGTATCTGGCTCTCATGCAGTATATTTTAAGGATCACAAGTATTACAAAGACATTTTTTAAAAACAAATTTCATGCATCAATAGACTAGTATCAAAAAGTGATGTTAAAAGCCTGTAATTCAAATTCCTAGTAATTCAAAATAATTGACATGGTATGGTAGACCATCGTACAGGTCTGTTGTCTGCTATCCAGCACTTGCAGTAATCGCAGAATTTTTTTGGCTGAGATTTCCAGTAATCGGCCCTGGGGAAAGAAAAAAAAAGATCTTTAATCTGAAACAATAACCAAAGCCACAGGTTTTCATATCTATCTATATATCTACATCTTCAGAAACTAAATTTAGTCTTCTTTGGGTGATTAAATGGAGGTGGAGGGTTTTTTCCTTGTGGGTTTTTTTTTTTTGGTTGTTTGGTTGTTTTGGGTTTTTTGTTTGCTTGTTTGGGGGTTTTTTTGTTTAGCAAAGTCTGGGGAGCCAGCAAGAGTAGCTATATTGACTACTGTGTCCCATAAAGCACAGTACAGTATTAGGATTCTGCCCAGCTGACCCCTAAAGACTGCAAAATTTTTACAATGGAGGTGGTGTTTTAAGAATCAGAAATACAAGACAAAGCAAGTCAGAGATAAAAAAGCAGCTCTAGATACCCCAATAAACACAGAACAGTCATAAAAGTGCAACTTACACTCTTTCCAATAAAAACGTATCAGTAGATGTTTCTAAGCGAAACTTTAGATTTAATGCTGAATCCTGCTTTTGATACTGTACACAATGAACTCAGCAACACAAAGGTGCAGCTCTGGACACTGCGGACTGAATCCTAGACCAGATTCTGACTTGCGGGGTCACAGACATGGCAGTAAATTGTTTGGATGTTTCAGTGTAAAAATGCAACTATTCTTGAACCACGCAACTAGGTAAGTGAGGAAACTTGGGGAAAACTTCAGAGCTCAAAAGCTAGTATATAAAAGTATTTAACAACAAAATAAACAATTGCTCCAATGACTGTTTCTTCATCAAAAACCACTTTATAATGCCGGATAAGACTTGGGCAGAAACAATTCTATTTCTCATAGGCTTGCAGCAACAGATGCAATGCATTGGTTCAACAGTACACAACTGAGCAACAGAATTCTACATTTTTTAAGTTAAAAAGAGAAAAAATGAGGGACAAAATAAAAAAAAAAACAAATTCAAGATTACACTGACAACATTAAAAAAGGTCAGCCCAAAAAATTCATCTTTGTCTTCTGTCTGAAGATCAATGCACAAAGTCCAAGGAAAATACATTCTCATTCAATGAAAACAAAACTTTTTCCACACACAACAACAGCACCCTCAATCCTCATGATACCTGCAATCAGATCTTTAATTACAGAAACAGACCTGATTGACTCAACTCCTAAAATTTAAGCAGGTATCAAAATACACTCTCCTACCAGTGCTTAATGTAAAAGTACAATTACCAAGAAGCTACAATTATTTAAAAGCGTAAGTGCAAAGGATATACTCTGCAAAAATGTACCAATCTGTAAGCGATACTGTGTTAGCAATGTGCAGCTTTTCAAGCAATTTTCTGAAAATCTAGAAAGCAGTAGCTGGGCTTTCCCCAATTTATGAGCAGAGAAATCTGCTCATCCCTAAGTGGTGTATTTTAAAATTGTGTGATTATTTAGTCCCACATTTAATTCAAAGGCTTTTACTGTGAGATACAAAAAAGTGTACCAGGGGCAAAGCCTGAGAAATCAAATGCTCTGGCTGAAAAACCAGATGAGTGGAAGGGAAAAATTCAGAGCTCAAAATACCTTGAGATCCTTTTTCCTATTTGAGCTATAACTCTTAAATTGTCTCTAAATCCTTCAACATCATTTATAATAAATTTCCAGCTAAAGGCAGGGTTAACCTTTCTAAGGCAATGGAACAATTCTGATATAAAACACATAAATTGGAAAAAAGCTACACTGAATATCTTGGATATGCAGGAATCTCTGCCTACTTCCAAGTTTAACCTAACACAGGAGGCTCTTTTTCTTTAACAGAATCAAGTGTAAGTGCTAAAATTAAGACTGTACAGCTGCACCCACCACAGGTCAACACCTGAGAGTTTGGCGAGCTGTATTTTCACAGCTATATTTTTCACTGATTTCTTTCCTAAATGCTACTGGACATCACATCTGTTGCAAACCACTGTAGCTGCACATAGAGCAATCATGCTGGAGAACTTGAGGGCACACCTGTGCGTTCAGTACAAATCCACATCTTGAACACAGAAGCCTTTTGTCTTCATCTTCTATTGGTTTTGATAAAAACTGAAGCTGGCTCTCTATTGTTACATATAAAATAAATGTAAATCGTACTCTGTGCAGAAAACCAGATATCCTAGGAACTTTAAATTCTGCATTTCAAATTAATTGTGTAACTTACAGTCTCAATTCTGTGCCTTATGGGCATGAGAAATCTTATATACTATGTAATTCTCTTAAAGATTTTCCACTTGAGTTCACACCACTAGAAAAAAGAGCAAGCACCGACACAGATGGGTACCGGGCAACTTCTGGACAAACTGCTGTAAACTTCCATCCAGAATTGGAAATGCTATACTAACTTGCAAGAAATTTATGTTTCCTCAAGTGCAGTGATTTTCTTTCCACTTTTACTGGTCGCACCACCCACACAGAATGTGCAACAGTTCAGAAGGCTAAGGGGGAAGGAGGGGAAAAAGAGGGAGTAAAAATCAAACTATTTTCTTGAAACTTTAATGAAATGACAAAGTCTTTGCTACAAACAGCAGAGTGCAAGTAGCATCAATGTTAAAACAATTTTCAGATTTCCAAAATTCATTTAAAATGTCAGAAGGAGCGAGAACATGAGGAAGAACAAATAGCAATTCTGCACTAACAGCACCTGCCCGATTTGCCATTCCAAAAGACATGAAAATGATGAAACTCAGAGAGAAAACACGGAAACTCAGGTATTTTTACTGTGCATAATTCATTTCTTGAGCCATGAGGATCATGCAGCCTACGCTGCAGTGACTGGGACACTCCAGCGTGGGAACCAGTTTGGGAGCACATCAAGGGGACAGGTTCTGTCAACAGTGTAACCTGCAGAGTAATGCCAGCAGTACCAGAGTCCAGGGCCCCAAAGTGCCTACCTTCTTCTCCTCACAAGCTACTATATTATTCATGTTTAAACAGGTGGTGCAAACAGCAAGCCTTATATACAGAGGCTTAAGAAACCCTCATAAAGTAGCTATCTTCAGCTGAGACAGCTTTGCCAAACTTTACTTGGAGACTGGGCTGGAGGATTTTGTTCCTATCACATACTGAAATTAAGGGGGGAAGGAGGAGAGACAACAGGTTTAGGTGGTTCTGAACACAATAAAAAAGAATTTGGCTGTGCAAACAAAATCTGGAAGCATTTGCTTTGAACGGCTCTGTTCTAAAACAGACCTGAAATCTGGCAGGGATGCAGGGGAGTCTGTATCAGGGATGTATCTGTCCAAATTATAAGCCTTCAGGGGGTAAAAAACCCTAACATATAGGCTCAGCACTCTTTTTTGGTTTGAGTATCTACAACCTCTGAAGACTTTACAGGAAGTTAACATCTTACAGCTTTCTGCAGGTTTGAGCACTGAACAGCTGCTGCATGCATCATCTTCTTGAGTACAGGTGTGTGAAGTAAGTAAGACTCAAGTTTTTGACAACACAAAGACAGTAACTCACAGTAGATATTGTGGCTGCTCTAAAACAGCCACCCAAAAGGACACAGAATCTGTTACTATTTCTGAATACTATTTGGGAATACTGTGTCCGTCTAAAGGAAAGTAATAGTTCTGTAATTGAAAGAAGTAGAAAGAACAAAAGAAAAAGAAAACAATCACATGTATTTCACAATAGACCCTCCTCCACATGGGAAGCCATTCCAGAGCAGCTAATTCCAATTCATATATCCCAGTATTGTTGAGATCTAAAAAGGCAGTACTAAGATTGGCAGGGAAGAAGGGCAAAAAGGTTTTCTTGCGAAGTAGGTCCCAGTGCCATGGCTCACGCTCTCGAATAATTCACAGCAACTCCATTCACTCACAGTGCACTAATCCTACCTTAAAACCTCTTCTTAGATATGTACCCTTAATTTGTATTTTTTAAAAATGGTATTTAAAAATAAGGACTAAAGAAAATAGCATCCCTGACACTGTGAATACACAGGACTGTCCTTTACCTAACCTTAGCTTTTTGGCTTTCTAATAGATCATGTGTATGTCCACATACGTCGGAGCCCACATATATGGACACGGAATATACGTCTATATGTGGGCTCTGAGAGAGTAGTACTGGATGGGAGTTTCATCCACATGAAACATGGCAGTTCTCTATATGGTTTTGTTCTTTTCGCTCTCAAGTCAATTATATTTTTTGCAGACCTTCTGTAAATTCTAATTTACAATCCAAGTGGCTGCTTCTTTTTATTACTGTGTTAGCCCCCTCTGAACTACATACAAATCACAATATCTCATGGAGAGCAGAGTTTGCAGAAGGTGCTAAGTCTGACCTGTATTGGCATTGAAGATAATTTTCATGAATCTGCTTTACCAGCCCTCTTCTCTAAATTGTAAATTATGGAATCATGGAATCATTTAATTTGGAAAAGACGTCTAAGATCATAGAGTCCAACTCTTAACACTGCCAAATCCACCACTAAGCCATGTCCCTAAGTGACATATTTACATGTCTTTTAAATACCTCCAGGGATGGTGACTCAACTACTTCAAATGCTAAAAATATTTTTAATAATATACAAGAATGCACAAGGCTATCAGGGAAGGCAGCCTTCTGCATGTATGGAACTCCAATTCTCTAGGTCATGTCCCCTAACTTCAGTTGTCCAAATAGACAGATTAGCATTGTCTTAGTTTTCCAATTCAATGATAGAAACTGTAATCTCCAAAATATTGCTCTTTCCATCCTAAAGAGGCACTTGAGAAGCAAACTGAACTCCTTAGGTGCATGTTTCTTCCTTATACAGGGAACCTAAAAGCAAACTGCTTCAGTCAGCCTTCAAAAGTTAAATATCTGAAGTCAGGGATATCTACTGAGACCAGAGGTCTCCTGCTGTAGATGCAGAAGAAAGATATGGGCTATGTCAGGAAGAATTTGATAAGAATTAGAAGAGAGAAAAAAAGAGCAACATAAATTGGGTCAAGAAACTGTTCAGGTATAATTTTAGCAATACCTAAAATTAAGAACACTGCTGTACATAGTACCAGTCTGCAAGACAGCCTCACACAGCTCACCATCAAATATGGCCCCAGAGAAGAAATTTTTGACCAGTTTAAGATTTGTTTTTTTTTTTTGTTGTTGTTGTTGTTTGTTTGTTTGTTTGTTTTAGCAGGGAAGTTAGGATATCCTGAAAAGTAACAGAAACGAGCAAATGCCATTCATGTGCCATTCGCAACTAATAAAAGACCTCGACCTGGATTTCTACCCCCCACACACGTGCTCAGGTACTAACACAAATTTCCTAAACAAAGACTTAAAGGAGGTAGCGACGGCCAGGTAAAACCAAGGTACAGAGGCTTTTCTTCCGCGCGATTCACCCAGGCAGGACCAGAGACGTCAAAGAAGCCTGAAGGGTGGAGGGACCTGGAGGAGAAGGGATGAGGGAGAGGGGTTGCAGGGGGGGACGGAAAGAGGGGGAGGAAGGGGAGTGCAGGGGGAAGAGGTGCAGGGGGGAATGCGGGGTCAGGTAGAAGGGAGCGGGGCAAGAGAGACGGAGACAGGAGGAGGAGGAGGACGGGGGACTGCAAGGGAACGGAGTGGGGTCAGGAGGACGCAGGCCCCCTTCCCCGCAGCCCGCCCGGCTCTGCGGGCCGTCGAGTCCCCCGCCGGCGGGAGGCGCCGCTGCCCGCCGTGTGCCAGGGAGATAAGGGGACGAAAGCGCAGCAAAAACAAATAAACAACCCAAAGACACAGGGAGGACGGCCGGGAACAGAGGGACCGCAGCGACGAGGAAACCCCTCTCTCAGCGGGGTGGGGGTCGCGGGCCGCAGCCGGGGCACCGCCACAGCCCCGCCACCCCTGGCCCCCACACGGCCTGCGGGGGCCCGGCCTGGCCCGGCCCGGCCCCGGCACGCAGGGCGAGGAGCTGTGCCCGCTCCCTCCCAGCCCCGGCACTCACATCGCCGCTCCCCAGGCAGCGCTGCCGCTCCACTCCCCTCCGCTCCGCTCCCCACGGCTCCCCTGCGCCCGCCGGGGCGGGATGGGCGGCGCTGGGAGAGGGAGGGAGCGCAGCGACGGGAGCCGGGAAGGCTCAACCCGCGCTCTCCTCCCCCGCCCTTCCCCACCTCCTGCCCTCGCCCGCTCCTCCCTCACCCCTGGAGCGGCGAGCGCTCAGCGGGAGCCGCTCGGATAGGGAGCGGGGGCTGCCGCCGCTCGGTGAGTGCCGTCTGAGTCCCGCGCTCGGGGGGACGGGGAGGCTCTGACCCTTCCCCCGCGGCGGGGAGAGCCACCGCGGGCCATGGGTTCGAGCCCCGCCAGAGGCAGCGTCCCGTACCGGGCTGTCCCTGCCCCGCCGTGCCCGCGGGAGAGGGGAGGTGTGGGGAGCAGAGGGGCGGTGATGGGGTGCGGAGGGGCTCGGGAGGCGGCGGGCCCCGGCCGGGCGACGGTGCGCGCCCTTGTGTGGCGGCCGGCGGAACCCCGTCCCGCAGGACGTCCCTGCCAACTTTCTGGGAGTTCGGCGGCGCGTGTGTCGGGAGGGCTGTCGCTGCGTGACGGCTTCGCCTCCCCCTTCTCCCCGCTGACCCCGGCGCCGCCGCCCTCCCCTCCCTCCTTCTCTCCCTGCCTGTCTCCCTCCCCGCCCTTTCTCCCTCCCTCCCGGCCGTCGTGGGGCAGCCGCGGCGGGGAAGGGGGGCCGGGGGGGGGGAGCCAAGGGGCGCCGTCCCGGGGCGGGGACACGGTCGCGCACGGGCGTCCCCGAGACGCTGGCCCTGGGTCGCCTCCTCTGCTGCTTCCCCCCCAAATACAATTCACCCCGGGCTGGTATTCCACACCACCGCCTCCGCGCCCCCCGCCCTGTGTGACTGATCTCCCCACGGTTCTGCGAAAAAAGTCCTGTTAATTCACCGGCTGCAGCTGGCAGCCTGTTTGCTACAGTCACGCACAGGGGTGGAGGAGAAGCCTGCGGAGTGAGTCATGGCTGTAAGAGGCCCTCCGGTTGTTTATGGCAAAAACATGAGGTGGCTCATTCAACATGTGGGAAACACGGGTTGTAAGAAGTTACCTCGATCCATCGTACAAGGATAAGGCAGAGGTACCTGTGCATACCACCCTCCACCCCAGCTTGCTGTCGAGCTGCCTGCGAAAGGAGGTGGGGAGGTAACGTTGCTTTTTCCTGAAGGAGGGCTTGTGGTCAGACTGCAGGAGTTATGCATTTGTCAGCATTTCCATTATAAGTGTAGTTTTTATGTAGTTTACAGCTTGGTTATAAAAATATGCACTGGGTTGAAATTTGGTTCACAGCCTCTTCTGCAGAAACATCTAAGCAACTTTTGAAATGGTTCTGTTTAGATGCTAAGTGGAAATACATGGAAAATACTAGCTTTTTATGTTTCTTTGAACTTTAAAACTTAGCTGCTTACACACGTGGACACATTTACAGCTGTTAGTCCAAAACAATTCCTCCCTCCCCCCCCGAGTTTGTTAAATTGAGGAAGAGTTGAGAGGCTTGGCCTTTGTAGGCATTACTCGTCTATTAGGGCAGCAGAGACTCTGAAGACTCACAAGGTCCCTGTCGCCTTGCATGAGGGTACCCACCTACAGAAGGGATGTGGGGCACCATGAGTCTGCACAACCCTGGCCCTCGAGTGCCAGAACAGTTCCAGTGCCTCAGCACTGTGGACAAGAAGCTGGTGTTAAAACGGAGGCAGAATATGTTAACCTTGCTCCGCGGCATTTTAAATTTTATTTATTTATTTTTTTTACCCTGCCTGTTCAGTTGCTGCTTCTGAGACAGGGAACAAGCCCAGTATTTAGGAGCTTCCGTTGGTATACCTCTGTATATGTACGTCTCTGGACGTGAAACGTCTGCCACCCAGTGGATGTCGCTGATCTCTATACACTATTCTATACATTTACTGCCTCTCCACCCTGCCCTGCCCAGCCCTACCCCGTCGGTGCTAAGTTTGCAAAGGGAAGTGCTCAGGAATTGTAAAAAAAGCCAGGCTCATCTGGCTGCCGCGGGCCTGCGCACGATGATGGTGTCGGTTGTGACGGGATACATCACGTCCTTCCTGGCTGGCTTGGGTGATGAACCAGAGGTGGACCTTCAAGGTGTAGTAGCTCTCTGGCTGGGCAGCAGTGAGAACAGGTAACATGAATGAGGCAAACAGTTATATGTGGAGGGAGATGAAGCTTCATGCCTGAGACAGCTGGAGATTTGGATTTTGCCACCCCTGCCTTTGCCAGAGGATTTCAATATAAAGGTTTTCACCCATATGCTCTTGGATTTTCTCGGAGCCTGGCCTAAGTCCCTGGGATCTGCTTCACAGTTATGCTGAACTTATCCGTCTGGAACAGAAGTGAGCGGTTGTTTGCTCTTGACATATAGAAGATGTTTGTAGGTCTAAGTGTGTTTAAAATACAAGTTTTGAGTGTCAGAATTGCTCGCTCCATGTCTGTAACTTTTTGCTTTAATCTTTTCGTATCTCAATTTCCCATATTATAAAAACATGGATAGCAGTATCCTTTATCTTACAGATCATTGTAGTTATGAGAACCATAAAAGAACCTGAGAGAGAAGAAATAATTTCCTCTGGGATTTAAAATGTGTGGTGATGCTCTAGAGAACAAGGGCAAAAAGAGGAATTTGTCTGTTAATTATCGCAAAGCTTCAGTGGGGAAAAAAATGTGACCAGGTCAGTTGCAATTAGAGATTGATCTCCATGTGTATTAGCACTAGGAGACATTTTTAGTTACCATAGACCACTTAATTCTAATAATTCCCAAATTCTCCTGTCTTTGTCACATTTTTAATACTGCGTTCTGTAATATCCTAGGTTTTCTTTCCCTTAGGAAAAGTGCCAAAAAGCAGATAGGCAGCTTAGGGTAGTGTGCATGTGTCACCATCCTTTGTCAGCTGGATTTCTAGTGTAACACCCAGGACTCTGCTGAGAATAACCAGTGGTGATAGGTCGTGGCTGTGGTCTGTGTTGCTGTACTTGCTCATGTCTCAAGTACCTGGTGCTATTGTGGCCTCCACCAGCCCTGATGTGGAAAGCCTGGAGCCTCCTGCTCTTCCCTTCTAGCTGCAGCCTTGTCTTGCACCAGCTCTGGGGGAGAAGTTCCTTATGGCTGTGGGGAAGGCCTTCGTTTTCTGATCAGCATGAGGATTTGAGAAGAATGTGAACGTGGCCTAGCAAACACCTGCTGAAAATGCACACAGTGCAATTTGTCTTTATATGTTTGACCAAATGCTGGTGGACTTTTCTTGGGGGCAGCAATATATGGGCCCCACCCCTCATGTCAGATTTCAGATCTGTCACCAGGAACTGGAAAGGTGCTACAGCCTTTAAAGTTTGCCAGAGATACATTGAACATATAGCATTTTCCCTGTTCTTGTTCTGAACACAGCTCAAGTGTTTCAGCTGAGTTCTTGTAATCAGTCTGCCTCTTTCTGCACCCCTCACTCAGAGGTAACCTTTACAGCACATGGAACAAAATTTAGCCTGAGGCAGACATTCAGCTTGGAAAATTTCAACCCAAACAGTCAAAGTCTGGCCAAGTTACAAGCAGCTGGAAGCAGCATATTGCACTGGAAGTGTTCAGCAGCTGCCTAACAGGCGATGCTACAAGCTTCATCAATACTGTGTATATGTTTATGTACATGGAAATACAGTGCTGAATTACGATATTATTTGATAGGTTACCTGATCCACTAACTGTCAGCCAGTTGATTCTGATTTTCTTTTTTTTTTTTTTTGAGAATGGAACCTAAACCTCTTTGGTTAATGGTATGAATGCCTTCCCTTACTCACATTATTCATTGTTGTTTTCCGGGCTGAAAAATTAAAAACTTTAAAATGGCGCCTCTGAAATAAATGACAAGCCAGGGCTTACTCATTCTGAATCTTTCAAAATGACTTAGTGATTGTTAAAGACCATTTTACAATAGAACTAGAGCAAGTTGCTTCCCAGTGTTTTGAATTGTAAAAAACCACATCTCCCAAATTCCTAAGCTATTCATCAACTGTTCTATTGTAGCAGACTCACCCTATATTGTGTCCCTGATATATCTATTAAATCTGCAGTGAAGTGTGAGTTTAAAACAGTGCCATGGAGTCACTGTGGAATAAATACCACAAACATTGGCAAAGTTGCTTCATAAATCCTTCTTAGTTTAGAGAAGAACTTAGGCGTGCCTTTTTTCTATGGGAGTGCAGCTGTTTCTTGTAGGGTTCCCCAGGGGCTGGATCTTGGTGCAAGGCTGGTTAATATCAATATATTCACAGCTTTTGTGATGATACCACATTGTTACCAGTACATTACATACAGGTTTGTGCACATACGGAGCAAGTTATTAGCATGCTGTACTCCAAATAATTTTTTTAAATGTTCAGTATCCATCAGAAGGCATTTTTCATGCAGCCACATACAAAGGAACCAGGACTGTGGTTACACCAGCAGGATAGTCAACTGTCTTCAAACTGGTAATTTAAAAGAAGATTTAAGAATTTGTGCGGACAGTCATCTCAACAGGAATTTTCACTGCAGTTTTGCAACTGCAGTGTAGCCCTTGGCTGTATAGCAATATAAATATTGCACAGAAGTAGAAAAGTACGTGGCATTAGTAAGATCACAGGAATTCCATATCTGGTTTTGCTGCTCTCACGTGAGGAAGGATGTGAAATATTAGTAAGAGTAAAGTGACAAAAGTGATCCAGGGTTTGGAGACCAGTCTTCACAATTTTAGATTGTACATCTGAGAGAGGAAATGATGCCTGTATATATCATACACTTGTGTAAGGAAAATACATGATATTTGCTTGACCATCCAGTGTCCAAGAGATGAAGTTAGGTATGTTGTACCTTGAAATAATAAGTAACCATGAGGGCAGTAAAGCATTGTAGTGGATTTGCTGTTGCTGGGAGTGTTTAAAGTGAGATGGGGTTTTCTTCTCGAAGATGTGCTTTGGCTTGCTTTGGTGGAGGACATTTCCAGTGTGTTTGGAAAGGGGAAGAACTGTGCTCCATTCACCTGCATTCTTCCCTAGATTGAAAACCCAAGATTATTTGCAGTGCCTTC